AAAAATGATGTATATAAATAAATAAAAGAAAACTTAGAGCGATCTCCGTGTTTGCTTTAAAAATTTAAGCTTCATATAATTTAATAACATATATATATCCTTTTGAAAAATGATGTACACAAATGAAAATAAACCTAGACCAATCTTCATATTTGTAGTAAAAAATTAAAATCCATAGAACTTAATAATATATATAGCTTTTTGAAATATATAAAAATATTTATATAACTATAAAATAAATTTAGATCAATCTACGTATTTGTTTTAAGAAATTAAGCTCTACACAACTTAATAATACATATATATATGTAAGGAGACGTTTGGTTTGAAGAAATCCACACATTTTCCTCTGGAATCTTATTGTTGGGTATTTAATTTCAACGTTTGATTTAGGATAATTTGATTCTAGAAAAAATTAACAGATTCTCAACAGTATCTAAAGTCCTAAAATAAAAAACTCACTTCTTCTTATAGTATTCTAGGATTTTGAAAAGGAAAGTAGTGTTATTTTCAAATTTAACCTAACTAAAAAATTATGAAATAATCATTACTATTTTGAAAAACATGTCTGAAAATGAAAACAAGTTAGTTGTAGCTTTCTATTAGTAAAAAATTTGATTTATATATGGCATTTGGTGTGAAAAATACTTTTAATAAATCATCATTCAAATAAATTTTGGATTGAAGAAATGCCTTAAATGATCATAATTTAAGGTGTTTGGGTTAAAGAAACGCCTTGAATAACTTATTCAATTTTTTGTAAGAGATTATTCAAAATATTTTCTAGTAAAAAATGTTTTGAATAATTCCTTCATAAAAATTGAAGGGGATAATTTAGGGTATTTTTTGCTAGAAACGTCTTGAATAATTTCATTTAATTTTTTTAAGGAATTATTCAAGGCTTTTTTAGTCAAAAACACCTTGAGTGATCTTTAAAAAAAAAAAGAGAGAATTATTTAAGTCATTTTTGATAAGAAACACATTGAATAACCCTATTCAATTTTTTGTATAAAAAAATGAATAGATTATTCAAGATATTTTTGACCAAAAACGCTTTGAATAATCCCCTCATAAACATTGAAGGGGATTATTCAAAGTGTTTTTGACAAAAAAAACTTGAATAACCTCATTCAATTTTTTGTAAGGGATTATTCAAGGCATTTTTTGACAAAAAATACCTTGAATAATCATCTCATAAAAATTGAACGAGATTATTCAAGATGTTTTTTGCTAAAAACGCCTTAAAAAACTCTATTCAATTTTTTTGTAAAGGATTCTTTAAAACATTTTTTTGGTAAAAAATTATTTGAATAATCTCCAATAAAAATTTAAAAGGGATTATTCAAGGCATTTTTTATAATTATTCAAGGCGTTTTTTTTATAAAAAATACCTTGAATAATTCACTCATAAAAATTTGGAGGGGATTATTGAAGATGTTTTCGCTAGAAAACGCCTTCAATAACCCCAATCAATTTTTTATAAAAGATTATTCAAGACGATTTTTGGACAAAAATACCTTGAATAATACCCAAAAAAAGGGAGGAGGATTATTGAAGACATTTTTTGGCCAAAAATGCATTGAATAATCTCATTCAATTTTTATTAGGAGATTATTTAATGCGTTTTCTGGTAAAAAAACCTAGAATAATTTCTGAAAAAAATTAAAAGAGATTATTCAAGGTGTTTTAGACTAGAAACGTCTTAAATAATTCTTTTCAATTTTTGTAAGAGATTATTCAAGATATTTTTGATCAAATATACCAATGAGATTATAGTAATCATTCAAGATTTAGTATATGTGGATTTTTCTTAACCAACCAAATAAATCTGAACATGAAATACCCTGAAAATGAAAGAAAACCCCATGAATTGTAATTTTTCAAGGATCACACTTTCTTTCGAAATCTACGATTTTGTGAACCAAATGCCCTTTAAATATTTTTTAAATATTTAAGCAAAAAAATATTATTTGATATATAAATCAATAATTTTAATAATTTTTAATTATTTATAAATATCATAAATATTAAATATATGTTATAAAATTTATTATATACAAATTTTAATATAATATCTTTAATTTTATTTTCTACTATATTTTATTTTATTATGATCATTATGTTTAGATCCAAATATATATATATATATATATATATCATTACTAAATTTAATTCTATCGTTATAATATTTAACCTTATAATTATAATAATTAATTTTATCATCATTATTATTTTTAATCTTATCCTAAAGAATCTTATCATTTATCTAAATTAATACAAATGGTAAAAGTCTTAATTCAAAATTCGTCACTTGCTAAATCTTTTAACATTAAATAATAATTAAAAATCAATTCAATCTGGTTTAATTGTCTAAATTCAGATTTATTGAAAAGTTGACGGTTATTGAACTGTTCAACTTAACCTCGATTTTATATGAAGTTTTAAGGTGAATTGATCGAGTAAATTTCACCCAAGGTCAACCAATTTTCATAGTAATTTTATTTGGATCATTGAATTGAATTTTGATTTGTCTTTAAAAAATAACTGAAATTTATTAAAAATCCTAAAATTAATCACTTTAACGGATTACATCCAAAAAAACAAAATTACGTTGCCACATCGATATTTTTGGCACATCATTTTTCTATTGTTATCTCTCTCATTCCTCTCATTTATTTATTTCTCCTCCCTCTCCGTAGTAAAATCTAAGCCTTACTTTTTTACCAATTGGGTACCTAAAGAAAGTGCATGTTCTCGTGTTTTCTTTGAAGTGGGAATTCCTATGATGTTGTTGAGCTTGCCTTGACGAAGCAACTCGCCGATTCGATCTGTGGCGGTGTTGTTGTCTAACCTGTGCCTAGAACTAAAACCATGCTCGGTTCAACGAACTCAACGGCTTTGTAAGCGGCAGTTTTTTTGGGTTAGGAATTAGGATGACGGGTGGAGACATAGGAGTAGACGAGGGGGAAAACTCTATAGAAGAAGCTTTTTCAGACCAAGCAACTGCCTTTTCTTTTTTTTTGGGGGGGGGGGGGGGGGGTAATGGGTAATAAAGAATAAAGAAGATTAGGTTAAAAATGGTGATAACAAAACTAAATCAACGGAAATCAAAGTATTAGTATTTTATTGTAAGAGAAAGGGGGAAAAGAAAATGCGGGGTTTGTTCTTTGTGCTTTTGTTTTGTTTTTCCTTTTAGAATCCAAATTCTGGAATGGGATAAACAAAGCAATTTTATGAAAGAAAACAAACAGGGAAAGAAAAAAACCAAAAGGGCGGAGAAAAAGGAATTGTTTATAGTGAAATTAAGAGGAAGAGATAATAGTTAGTATTTGGTCTTATTTTTTAAAATTATCGTGGTGGTGATAAGATTATTAAAGTAATTTGATTATCAATAATTTTAAATTATTATGGTTGGAGTAATATTATAAATTATTATTAATTTTAAATTATTATATTCGGTATTATATAAAAAATAAATTATAAAGCACAAAATATTCAAAAATAACTTTGTAAAAAAAAAAGGTAAAATTCAAATATTTATTGAATCAATAATTTATAAAATATTTAAATATTATTTTATAAAAGTTTATAAAATAAATCAATTTTGATTAAAATAATTTTTAAAAAATTATTAAATAAATTCATTATATTCTTTTAATCAATAAATATTTATTCAATTGTAACAAAAAAATTTTTTTTTAAATAAATGTTTAAAAAAATCGATTTTTGAAAACTTTTACTAGCCAATTTTTTGGAACAATGTTACTAAATTTTTTATCAGGGTCAATGGATAAAAAATAATATAAAAAATTACATTTCCATAATTATAAAACTTCTCCTTTTTTTTAGGATAAGAATCAAATTATTTTTCAAGACATTAATCTTATAAATCTAATGATTTAATATTATTGACACGTAAAATTTTTAAATTACTTTCAAACAAAGCAATGTAATTATTGCAAATTATTGTGCCTTTTAGATTGATCACCTCCTACTAAAAACTCTCTAAGGATTTAGATTTTCGAACCGACAGAGAAGAAAGGGTGAAGAAAAGAAAAATTAAGAAAGGAGAGGGATGAGAGAGATGGCAATAAAAAATGACATAATAAATAATTGATGTGGTAACTTACACGGCAACATATGTGGCAATCATATCATTTTTTTATTATTTTTTAATGGAATCTTTTAGAGTGATTAATTGTAATATTTAATAAATTTTATTGATTTTTTAGAGATAAATCAAAAATATGATTAATACGAAATTTAGTTGATTTTGAATGAAATTTATTCTGAATAGATTATTTTGGATTGGTTCAATCAATCCTACGATGACAACATTACTTTTTTCGATAAATTTTATGAATTAATTAGTTGTTGTTAAAATGCATTTACTAGATTTTAAGTTTTTATGATTGGGCTTCATTGGAGAATTTAATGGAAACATGGACAATTTAGAAACAAAATGCCAAAGAGAGAGGGAAAAACCAAAAACTATTTGGATCTTCTTTGGAAGCCTATAATTAAGAAAGGATTGAATCATTGTTTTGATAACTACGACAGAGAAATTACATGTGCAATTTTGTAAGAAAAGTGATAGGAAGGGAGATTCCAATCCAGCTTATATACTATGTCCGGAAGGAAGTTGCCTGAAGAAACAAAGGACGAAAGGATGGATGAAAAGGTGAGTAGGTTTCTCTGTTTCTAGATGGCTGTATTCTGTTACCTGAGCTGTGAATTTAAGCTTACACTACCACAGATAGTAGCTTTTAATTGATAATATCCTTTTTGTACTTTATTAAGGTAACAAGTTTGGTATATACTTATATATATATATGTATATAGTAGCTTTGAATTGATCCTATCCTCTTTGTACTTTATTAAGGTAACAAGCTTGGCATATACCAAACTTGTTACCGGATGGATTGATCAATTAAAAGCTACTCTCTGTGGTAGTGTAAGCTTTAAATTCAGCAGCTCAGGTAGCAGAATACGGCCATCTAGAAACAGAGAAACCAACTCACCTTTTCATCCATCTTTTCGTCCTTTGTTTCCGCAAACACTATTAGATTACCAAATTTCCATAACTATCGTTTGCATTATCTCTTTTTAACCATCGGATTAAATGATGAGCAACCAGGGGCAACCAGGGGAAGTGATTGTTCCAATGCCTGAGATAGAGCAATTGGATTTCATCAGCGAACAGAGAAACAAATTAAAATCAGCCTTACTTGAAGCCAATAACCATGGAAGTGGTTCATCTCAAAGAGCCAAACCGTTAATACAAAGAGTTCCACGTGTCCTAATGGGTGTCAAGGAGGATTTTAAAAAATATTTCGAACCAAGGCTGGTAGCCCTCGGCCCTTTGCATCATGGTAACCCGAAGTTCGAGCGGGCAGAACGGTCCAAGCTTAAATTCACCGCTTTGTTCGTACGTGAGAACGATACCACTGATGATGCTTTATTCAACAAGATTATGGTAGAGATAGAAGATCTGAAGAAGTGTTATGATCCAGAGGTCATCAAAGACTACGACAATGAAAAGCTAGCTTGGATGTTCTTCATGGACGGTTGTGCAGTGTTGTACGCCGTATACTACGGGTCACGAGGTGAGTTTGAAAAGTTGAAAACTAAAGTAGATCTTATGGTATTTGCGCAACTTGATTTGTTTTTGCTAGAAAACCAACTTCCTTACCGAGTACTCGAGATTCTGATTAAGTCAGCCATCGATCCTAAGAAGTGGGAACAATCAATCACGGGATTCATAGGTGACAACCTTATAACAAATATACCAGGTGGGCAGAAGAGCCAACACGCAGATGGTCAAGGAGATAGGCAAGATTATGCTCACCTTCTGGAGCGGTTACGGACAACACTGCTGACAGGGAAAAAAGAGGAGAGACGCAGTAGCATGATTGGTGAGATGATTCTGTCGCTCGGAGACAGACGAAAAGGTAGGAAAACATTTCGTAGCATCAAGGAGCTTAAAGAATCAGGGATTTATGTAAAGCCCAGCAAGAGAAACAGCATTAAGAACATTTCCTTCTCTTGCAACATTCGGGGAAGACTAATGATGCCACACCTCTTGGTGGATGACTCAACGGCTCCCAAGTTCATGAACTTAGTAGCTTTAGAAATGTGTCCAGATTTTGAGAATGATTTTGCGGTCACCAGTTACTTATGCTTCCTGGATTCTCTCATTGATACAGCAGAAGATGTTAAGGAGTTGCGAGTTAGAGGTGTGCTTCACAATTACGTGGGCAGTGATGAAGAAGTGGCTAATCTGTTCAATAAAATGAGCAGGGACTTGGTGCCAGATCAGGAGATGTACTTTGATGTTGCAGAGGGCATCCGCAAGTACTGTAATAATCCATTGACGATTTCTGTGGCTCAAGCCCTTTACACCCATTTTAGTAGCCCATGGAGTTTCCTTGCCCTTTTGGGTGCCATTTTAGGCCTTCTGTTCTCCGCTATTCAGGCTTATTTCTCGTTGCCACAAAACAAAGAAAGCGGTTCAACTCCCTGAAACGAGTCCTTTAGAGTGTGCTTTCAACCTTCTCTTTTCAAATCTTAATTAGGTTATTTGTGCTTGAAATCATTGCCTGCTCTTTTTTTTTTTTTCATTTTTTTCTTTTCTTTTCCCCCAGCTTGGTGTGTGAGTTACCAATGTACATTTTGAGTTTCATATGTAAGAAAACTGAGTTGTTTTAATCTCAAGTATATTTGGCTTGCTGGATCTTAAACTTAAAACAACAATAACTAATTTTGGAGACAAAGATATCTTTGTGTAATAGGAATGCAAATCCCTGCATCTTCCAAAAATATGCCACGTTTCCTCTTTTGTTTATTGTCTTTAAGATTCGTTCGAAATTCGTAAAGTTTTTGATTAAAAATGAACAAATAAAAATTAAAATTAAAAATAAAAATTGATAAATTAAAAGATTATGTTCTATAAATTAAATGTATAAAATTCGAAAAAAATTTAATAAATTTTGATATATGTTTTTAGATAGATATTTTTAATAAAAATATTAACAAAAATTTTACTATTAGATAAATATTGATTAAATTTAAATTAAAAATAAAATTTATAATAATTTTTTTAACATATTATTAATTTTCATATTTAATTTTATCAATTTATCAATTTAAATTTTTTATTAAAATTTTTATTAAATCAATTAAAAAACAATTTCACAAATTTCACTTAAAAATTTTTATGTAAATTTTGTCCTGTTCAATAACTCATTTTTCATTGTTTTTGAACAACCATTAAAAAAAAAAAGGAAACAGTAATATTGCCAAGGGAAAAAAAAAACAAAAAAACAAAAAAACTCAAATCGGTTCATCATGATTTGCTATCATGCATCCCTTTACGTACTATCTATCGTAGACATGAATGGTAGGGATGTGATGCCTTAATCTCGAAAAAAAAAAGGTATTTATAAAGATGGAAGAAATAGTAGAATGAAGTTTTTGGGAAGAAAAATTAAGGGAGAGGAGGTAATTTTCTTTAAAAAAAATTGAATCATTGATTTTTTTATTTAATTTTAAATTTATTTATGTTTAAATTTTATATATTTATTATATTGTTATTTTTTAAAACTTTTTAAAAATTTAATTTAAAAAAAATTAAAATCAATATAATTCAACTATCCTATTGGATTATTTATCTATACTTAAATGCTTAAAAATCTCGTTAGTGGAGTAATCCTTATCCTCCCAACACTTTTGGTGGAGTTTCAAAGTTATTTTTCACAAGAATTTTTTTTTTTAAAATTCACTTAATATCTTTCTAAAATTTTAATTTTTGAAAGATTTTCTAACTAATCAGTTTTATTATTTATTTTATTTTTAAATTTAATAAATTAAACAATTTTATTGCTTTAAATTACAAACATAATGTGAAAATAAATAAAAAAGTTAAATAAAAGAGTTAGAAATCAACAAAATCTTCTTCTTGACTAGGCTTTTGTCTTGACCAAATCAACTGATCGAGTGTGGGAATTCGGACTTGGCCTGGACCCAAAACCATCCCACTTCATTTTTCCTTTCATTTTTCTTTATTTCTTACAAAGCGGCGTCGTTTTAGACACCTATATAAGCCTGAGCTAAAACCCTAAAATCCTCCATTTTTCTTTCTCCTTCACCAGACTGTCGTCGTCGGCCAAACTGGTCTTGCGGCAGCGGTTTCTTTCCTCTGCTTTTCTTTTTGCTACCAAAACAAATATAAAATTCGGCTCGAGTCCTTGAACTCAAAAATTATATATAGTAGGTTTCGAAGGGATGGTGGCCAAAACTGTTGAAATCAAAATATGCAGGAAATGAAACGCCCTAGAAAGAAAAAAAAACCAAGATTCCTTTCTTCCGACCCCTCCGCTGGCATCTGAGAAATAATAGTGCTACTACTAAAAGACAAAAGCGCCAAGCTCAGCTGCCATACTGTAGTATTCCAGCGGATGACACCGTAAAAATGGAGGCAGTGCCTATACAGAATGAAAGCGTCAAGCTAGGGCTCGTGGGAGCAGGGAAAATGGCTAAGAGCATAGCCAGAGGAGTGGTGCAATCTGGCGTGTTGCCTACCCAACGTATTTCTACAGCAATCTACTCAAATCCCAATCGTGGTGTCGCCTTCCAATCACTTGGCGTCTCTCTCCTTCCTTACAACTCCGATCTCTCCCTACCTCCCTCTCGTTACATTTACTATTTGATATTTTGCTTCTAGAAAACAAAAAAAGAAAAATTGGTTTACTTTTTTTTTGAATTTCTGATCCAAGTTATGAATATACGAAATCAGGTGATGTGATTACTTTTTCAGTGAAACCCCAAGTAGGTGATGCTCTTCCCTACAGTGCTTCCTCTTTCATTGCCTGCGCACGCTTACCATTCTTGCAATAGGTACTTTTCTCTAATTTTTTTTAATGAAATGCTACAAACATCGTGATACATCTTTTTCTCTTTAAAAGAAGTTTGAAAAATATGTTAGGGAATTATGTGATGGCAAATTTTTAGTAAGTTTAGAATATGAAATGCTAGAAACTTCGTGATACCTCTTTTTCCCTTTTAGAGAAGTTTAAAAAATATGTTAGGGGATTATGCGATGGTAAATTTTTAGTAAGTTTAGAATATGAACTGTGAATGAGGCTATCTTGTCTCTGTCATTTTGCTTTTATTATAGAAAAGAAATTGGAGTATGGTAGCTTAATGACAGTAGCAAAACATGGTCACGTCTATTTCCTTTTGAGCTCAAACACTTTTCTATATGTACCACTTTATGTCTTGTAAAGACATCACAGTCAAAGCACTATGATTTTGAATGTTTGCATTTATTAATTCAGTCATGATATGGAAAGAGAGATAAGAGAAAAAGAAAACAAAAACGATGGGTGCAGAACATATTCGGATTCATTTTCAAACTTTTGTTTTTAGTCTAAAACTTTACTTTTGGTGATTTGCAGTTAAAAAATGTGGTCTTGCAGCTGAGGCCGTTCCTTTCAAAGAATAAGCTTTTGGTTTCAATTGCTGCAGGAGTAAAATTGAAGGATCGGCGAGTATGTGATTTTGAGGTCTTTGCATTTGTACAAAAGCCTAAAAGACATGGAGCTAGTATACGGTTAGATATAGCATCTATTTTAGAGGTCATAGTACCTCTAAAATAGATGCAGTGCAGGATTGCTTAGGAACTAGGATTTCAGATAACAATAATTTGAAATTCTTAAGAAAATAGGGAAAATAGAATAAAGAAAAGAAAAGATAATTAGGGTTCTTTAATTGCATCACACCTAGGGTTCCTTAGGAGTCACAACTAAGGATGATTGCATCACACAATCTCACTAGCAATATTGCTAAAAAATTCTCGTAATAATAATCTGACTCTAAAAGAAAGAGTACATTTCTATTTATATCGGCTACTAGCCCTATCCTAAGTAGATAATGAAAAATCTTAATAGGGTAAAAAACCACACTATGATACTAAACCTGAATTTAAATGTAAAAATACTAAATATAACCCTAGATCTATGAAATATTACAATTAGCCCCATCAATATGACAAGAGTAACAACATAAAATCTTAAGTAAGCTCTTCCCTCAATTAGCATATCAGTGTTCTGCATCTAGATGTTTGCTTTAGGTAGGTCTAGAATATGGACGGCAATAATATCTAGTCTTGTTTTTATTGTTTTATGAAAGCCCTTATATTCTGCCTTTATGATGAATCAAAGCTGCAATGTAGATTTACATATCAAACAAACGTTTAGAAGAATACCTCTCTTCCACTGTCTTTGTCCATTCTCTTTTCTTCTTCTGTGCTTCTTATGCTTTTGTAATTTATTTTTAATTGTATTCCAAAATATTGTCATATTTAATTCTACTCCTTCCTTCCTTTGCTCTTGCCTCATTCTCTTGGAGATAGTTCCTTCAGGCATATTCATATTAGCTTGTCATTGGGCAAGATAGTAATTAAAAGTTGTCACTAGCTTCTAGAGAATTGTGGTGTGAAAACTGGGATCTTCTTCAATCTTTTGATTCTAAATCGTGTTGGGTTTACAAATGGTCTCAGCAATAGAGATCCTACCTGTAGGCATCATAAAATACTATAAATTTCTCATTTCTTATTCGTCTGTAAAATTTGTGGCAGAGAATTTGTAATATTACAATTAAAAAAAGGTCCATCAGAGAAACCTTCATCTGTTATTTATTTATTTATTTATTTATTGTAAAATTTGATTCAAGTCACACAAGCCCGTTTGGCAATCTTTTATTTGTATATCATGTTTGTGAGCAATGAATGGCTATATAAATCTCTAATATCGTTCCATTTGTATAGTTATGAGCTTGGGAGGAGCTGCAACAGAAGAGGATGGGGAATTAGTTGCTAAATTATTTGGATCAGTTGGCAAGATATGGAGAGCTGGTGAGAAATTGTTTGGTGCTATCACTGGCCTCAGGTTATGTTGTTTTAATGGTAGAGGAAACAAATTGGTTATCATAATATGCCTAAAAAGTCTATGCATACTATTGTCTGAACAGGAGTTAATCCTTTCCATTATTGGTTACCCTTTGCTTCTGTTTGACTGTGGCATGGTCCAGCGTACATATATTAAGCGATTGAAGCTTTGGCTGATGGAGGAGTTGCTGCTGGTCTTCCACAAGAACTAGCATTGGGACTAGCTTCTCAGACTGTAAGTCAGTCATACTTTATGCATCATGCATCATGTAATGTTTACTACAAATTAATCATGTACTTAGTGCCTTTTTAGAGCCTTCAGAAAAATCGTTTACCTCTCCATAAATCTTGGCACAATTTTAACTCTGAATTTTCTCTTAAGGCTAAGGGTGAGAGTTGCCATTTGGCTGCAAATATAAAAAATTGCTGATTTCAGTACTGTGTGGTGTTTAATATGGATTCAAAATTTAATTGTCATGTATCTTCTGTGATGCCCCTCCTCAAACACAGACCATCTATAAGATGAATTAGGAAAAATACAACCGTGGTGTAGGCTTAACTGAAACACATTTTTAATGATATGATGGAAGTTCCTTGTGCACGTGGTAGTATTGAATTATTATGTGCAAGTAAAATTTTAGTTTTTATCAAAGTAGTAAGTAGTTCAAAAAAGGGGAATATGGTGGGTTGACTTGGGATGACTTCTGTGCACTCTCTCATGAAAAAAGAAAGTTGAATTGATTATTCAATTCTCTAACATCTATTGGTTTGTATATTAATTATTTTTTATTCTTGAGTAGAAGTGCCTGTTTTAATCATTCATCATTACTAGCAACCACTGGCTGCTGGCGTCTTTCTTACAGGGCTCTTTTAGTTGCTAGTTGTATGCGTAATTTTTTTAAAGACAATTGGGTTCATTCTTTTGCAGGTTTTAGGAGCAGCTTCTGTGGCCATTAAATCCGGGAAGCACGCTGGTCAGCTCAAAGACGACGTTACATCACCTGGTGGGACTTCGATTGCCGGCATTCACGAGTTAGAGAAGAGTGGCTTTCGGGGGGGTGTTGATGAATACTGTTGTGGCTGCTGCTAAGCACAGCTAAGAACTTTCCAAGAGTCAAGTCCATCTGATTCAACATTTTGAAATCTTACAACATAATAGCTGGACGATCATTTTATCTCCCTGAACAATAAGAGCGAGTAAGCAGTTTTGCTTTGCATTTGTTTCTTCTTCTTCTTCATTTTTTTTTCTTTCTGTATTTGCAGGGTTAACAGATTTCTATACAATGCTTCTTTACGACAACCCGTGTTGATCAGATTTTATTCCTACTGGCTACTGGTGATGCATGCAATTGCTATGTTTTTTCTGGTACACTAGATATGGTTTACACAACTCTGGATTCTATGAGTTTTGGTAGTAGAAAATTCTGTCTGTGGCTGTTTTCCTTTTCAGAGGAACATGGAAAGAAAGTAGTTATTCCTTTTCTTCTACACCTGGCCCCGAACATAAAAAATCGCCCAACTCATCTAATTCATAACCTGATCCAACTTGATTGACCATAAAATGTTAACGACTTGAAATCGATTATTCAGAATCTAAATTAAATTAAATCCAGATCAATCTGAAATTGATTCGGAATCTAAATTAACTTAAATGCTGATCAATCTGGAATCGATAGTTCGAATCTGAAATAATTCGAAATTGACATGGTTTAAAATCAAAATGGTTCAAAAAATTAATTTGAAATTCTCTGAAATTAAATTAAATATAATTTTATTTAAAATTATTAATTTAACAAAGATAATAAATATAACACAAAAAAAAAAATAAATATAACATTAATGGTAACTTATTAAAATTATTGAAAATATTAAATTAATATATGTTTTAAATATCAAACTAGTATAAAGTATACATTTATATTATGTTATTTATAAAATTTCTTATAATTTATAATATAATTTAAATAAATTATATATTTTTAATTATTATCGGTATAGATATTAATTTATCATTTAGAATATATAAAACAAGTAATGGATTTGTATATATATGTTATGTCTATATTATAATTATATTATTAGTTTTTAATCATGTAGTTTAGAATAAATTCTATAACGCCTTTCAATTATATTAAAATTCAAAATAATAAGTTATTAAATAATGAGTTATAATTATATTAAAATGATCATTTATATTGTTATTATATATTAATATAAAAAATAATTGCATATGAAATGTGTATCATAAATAAATAATTAAAACAATTTTTATATGATTATATTAAATATGTAATTGTGTATTATAATTAAAAGTTTAAAATAATTTTTATATATTTATATTAAATTAAAATAAATATAAAAAATTATTAAACGTGTCAAACGTGATAAAAATATTTCTTATGTCTAATACATGTACTTGTCTGGTATGGTTTAATTAAACATTTTTTTTACGCACATCAAAAGTTGTGTTGATATTACTAAACATGAAATATATTTTTCTAAAACTTTCTTGTATTGCTTTGTCATATCATTATATTGTATTTAAATTTGTTTTAAAGTTCTAAGTCTAATAAAATCATATATTTTTCATTTTATTAAAAATTAATTTTAATTTAAAGCATACAAATTACATTATTTATATTTATATTTTTTAATAAAATTTGACTCGAATTTGATCAAATAATTTATATAAATTTAATCTAATTTGATTTTAAAAATTAATAAATTCCATTCAAAATGATCTAAACCCAAATAATTCAGATATCAAATTCAAAATGGTCGAATTGAAATGATTCAAACTAAAAATGACCCAAATCCAAAATGATTTAAATCAAAAATTGCTTAAACTTGAAATAATCTGAAACCAGAATGATCTGGCCCCAAATTAACCTAATTTTTATATAATCCAAAATAACCTGAATTGAATTGGTATGGTTTAAACCTGATCTGATTCGTCCTATAATTGAATTGGTATGGCCCCAAATTTCTGTACTCATATTGCTGAAATTCGGTATTGTTTTTAATACATAAAAGACTAAGACCTGAAGGAGATTGAAAAGCGGAATTTGCAAGAGTTGGAGATGGAACCTCAACGTTATTAGAATACACTTCTTAAGGAATTTGGATAAACCATTGGACTAAGCCTGTAGATGTTACAGTCGAGCTTTAAACGAAAACAACAAAAGGTGAAAGTTAATGGTAGCTGGCACATGTGTATTACGTTGTTGATAAAATGTGTACCTTCATCAAGAAAAAAGTGATGGGAATAACAAATTACAGGCAGCAACTGGGTATCTTTAATTAGTAAAGCAAACAGAGCAATCTGAAAGAGGGGAAAAGAGCAAAGTGAAAAGAATATGTTGAGTTCTAAACTTCATAATTTAGCAAAGGGAAAAGATGCTTCACCTTCCATTTTATATCAGCATTCAAGTGATGAGATATATATATATATATATATATATATTTATATATAGCCAAGGCCGCTGCTTTATCAAGACAAATGTGCCTAGAAAAGCTGAAAATGTTAAGGGAAGAGCCATCACCGGAAACCCGACTTCAAATATGCGATGGTAATGAGGAGGAATTGCATTTCATGAGCATCCGTGAGAAAGAGAATTTCCGTTATTTCAGAGCTCTGAAGAAATCCTCAAACGACGACAGTGTTCCAGCTCAATCTTCCAAATCCAAGCCATTAATACAAAGGGTTCCATTCACCCTAAGTGAAAAGAAGAATTTTAAGAAATATTTTGAGCCAAGGGTGGTTGCAATCGGCCCTCTCCACCATGGTAACCGCAGGCTTCAGCCAGCGGAGAAAGCTAAGCTTAAACTTGCAGTGCTCTTCACAGAAGAACATCGAGTTGCAGAACATGTGTTATACAAAAAGATTAGCAGGATATAGGATATCTGAAGAAGTGTTATAAGCCAGAGGATATAGAAGATTATGACGATGAGGAACTCGCTTGGATGTTCTTTGTGGACGGGTGTGCAGTGTTGAAAGCCATACATTACAGTAAGTCTAAAGCAAGAAAAGCAGAAAGATGAGCTGAATATTAAAGTTGATATTCTGGCATTTGCCCAAGTAGATTTGTTCATGCTCGAGAACCAACTTCCTTTCCGAGTCCTCGAGTTATTGATAAGCTCAGTCCATGATGGAAAGGATTTGAGAGAATCATCGACGTGTTCATTGATAATAAGATCAAGAGAACAATAGCGGAAGGCAAGAAAGGACAACCACGACAAGATCAAGATCGCACTCATCTTCTGGGGCTTTTGCGGGAAAGACTCTTGGCCGAAACCAACAACAAGAATAAAAGTACCAAGACCATCATTGGTAAGCTACTTCTTTCTTGTGGAGCAAAACAACAACAATATCCTAAAACATTTCGTAGCATCAATGAGCTGAAAGAAGCAGGGATTCGTGTGACTCCCAGCGAGACAAGCAGCCTCCGAGACGTTAATTTCTACGTTGGATTTCTGGGAACTCTGAAGATTCCTCGCATCGTGGTGGACGACTCAACCGGTTCCAAGTTCATGAACTTGGTAGCTTACGAAATGTGCCCAGATTTCAAAAATGAATTTGAGGTCACCTCTTACTTATGCTTCCTTGATTCTCTCATTGACACAGCACAAGATGTAAAGGAGTTGAGACATGCAGGAATGCTACTGAATTACCTGGGCAGTGATCAAGAAGTAGCTGATCTTTTCAATAATATAACCACAGATTTGGTGCCTGATCTCGAGATGTACCACGATGTAACAGATAAGATACGTAAGTACTGCGACAATCCATGGACGACCTGCATAGCTAAGGCGTATTATACTCATTTCAGCACTCCGTGGAGTTTCCTTGGCTTCTTGGGAGCCATAATGGGTCTTCTTTTTACTGCTATTCAAGCATATTACTCAATGCGAAAAGCGACTATGGGACAAAAGTAAAACGGTGTCCATCTTTCTTTTTCACCAAGTGTGCTTTAGAACTTGTTTAATTTTTCCTGTTATATATGTGAAAGTAAGATATGATTTGAGTGCAAAGATGGGTGCCTGTGTTACTTATTTAATTTTTCCTGTTATATATGTAAAAATAAGATATGATTTAAGTGCAAAGATGGGTGTTTGTGTTTGATTTGTGTAATTTTCATCTTTCTAATACTAGGGATTTTTTCCCCTTTTTTCGGCTTTCTTGCTCAACACACAATCACTTGTAAAGTTTTGTAATTTTCAACTTTGTAATACTGAAATTATTTGTTTGGCAGAGGAAGAAAATTTTGAAAGAGAATAAATAGATGGCAGTGTCTTTATTTTTTTATCGGCTTCCCTTTTGGAGACTATAATATATCACTCTTGTTTTCTAACTAAGTGTGCATTCTTTCATTAACTTAAAGCATTTCAAGTGTTATATAGTTTACTCTATAATCCATCTATAATTTATAATATCTATATATAAGAAGTGATTAATTTATACAATGTAAAATTTTTTTAGTTTGATATATTTTTCTAACATTTGATTTTAATAAATCTAAGAGATGAGAGAGACAAATAGAAATAGAAAAAAATGGTTTAATCCCATCCATTAGATCTATTGAAATTAATAGTTAAAAAATATGTAAAACTAAAAAATTTTTATACTATATAATTTGATCTATCCTTTATATATATACATGTACACATATAATGTTAAAATATTTAATGTTTTCATTTAATTTATGCATATAATATTAATAAATTATTTTCATAATTTTATATATAAGTTTTATATATAATTTTTTTTAGTTTTCACCAAATTAGTTAAAAGTACAAGATTAATGAAATTTGTAACTATTTAAATATGAGTAACAAAGCTGATTTATCATTTTAAGTAGAACGATAAATTTGGATCATATTTAGTTTTATTTATTGATTACCAATTTGCTAGTATTTTTTTGGCCAATCGTACTACACACTTTCACTTTTGAGTAATTTTTGTCTTAAACTCTTCTTTTGTCACTTAGGGTTTGTTTGGACAGTTTGAAACTTTCATAATAAGAAGTGTTGTTCAAGTAGAATGGCTTTTAAAAGCATTGTAACAGAAGATTAGAATAGCTTTTGACAAATTTATAGAATATTAAAAACTTTTTTAGAATATTATTTTTATATTTTTAATAGATAAAATTAAAATGGTGCTTCTTTTTTCTTTATTATTTGTCTAATTTATAAATGGAATCTTATGTGGTTTTTGCGTCTATTATTATTCTAATAAGAGCAGCTCATTCATTTGGTGTGTGATATACTTTAAGTAGTAGCTAAAGGCTAAAGCATGTAATGTCCCTCCCAACAAATGGATAAAATATTAGAAGTAGAGTTACAAAAAAATAATCCTAAGTCTTGATGTTATGAAAGATACATTATTAGCTTATTCGCCTAAAGATTTCATCAATGGTTTTTTTTTTTGTCAAATTAAAAAGTAGTACTAAACATTGATCCTTTTCCTATATAAAAGAAAAAGGCAA